GGGCCAGGATGGCTCAGGCGGTGCATGAGCAGGCCGGAGGGGAAACAAACCAAGAGAAAGCGTACGGAATGGGGTGGATGTGCTTTCCACCCCGTTGCAAGCCGGAGCGGCTCTGCCAGCACCGCACAAAATGCAGAGACAGTAAGAAATATCAAATAACAGTCCTGAAACAACAACGAAAGGACAAGACAACCCAATGCGAAAGAGAAGACAAGCTACAAAGAGTATGAAAAAAGGCGAAAAAAAATGCCAGATAACTATATACTGTCGCCGAGACGAAGCTCGCAGGTGGGACACCCTCAACGAAACCACCTGATCACCATAAAGATGGTGATACACCCGCATCAAAAGACCAGACGCGAAGAGCCAAGGAGAAGGCCGAATCAGCCACGTACCGGACCGGTACGACCTGCCAAAAGAGGCGGAACCACAGGAAATGCCCTGCGTTTGGACACCTATCAAGCAGCGTCAGAAAACAAAACTGGGCTGGCTATCACTGGGCCACGAGGACTACTCTCCCTGGGAAGGCATCCAACGAGCTAGAACCCAAAGCAATAGCTGGACTGGGGGAAGAGGTACAGGTAACTCCACCTCGACAAGTCCTGCCGAAAGGCATCCACCGCGAATGCCTCGCAGGCAGGAAAGGACGCCATATAGAATGGGAAACACCGAGACTACACCAACATGAAGACGTCCACATCCGGGAATCCGTACGTCCGGCAGAGCCAAGAAAATGAGACGGCGACGACCGGCCAATCCGTGAACACAGAAATGAACCGAGACAGGCCATCTGCCAGGACATTGGACACTCCCTGGACATGAACCGCACGGAGAGCCAAACCCCGAAAATCCAACAGACGAGCCACTCGAAGGGATCAACCTCAGAGGCATGGACCGAAGAAAACCCTCGCGGTTCCTTAAGTGAACCACCTGAGAACAGTCCGAATGGAGCCGGAAGGGAGAGTCCAGAGTGACCCGAAATGCAAAGTGCATTTCGGGTCATTTTTTTTTTTTTTTTTTTTGAGATATATACAAGAGTTGTTACATTCTTGTACAGCCACTAGTACGCGTAGCATTTCAGGCAAGTCCTTAATCCTATGGTCCCTGGAATACGATCCCCTGCCGTGAAGAATCGTTTTTTCATCCAAGTACACATTTTACTGTTGCGTTAAACAGAGGCTAGAGTTAAGGAATTGCGCCCAGTAAATCCTCCCCGGCCAGGATACGAACCCATGACATAGCGCTCGCGGAACGCCAGGCGAGTGTCTTACCACTACACCACGGAGACTGCACGGTCATGTCCGAAGTGCAAACCAGACAGCCGCGAACTCCCGAACCATGCTGTGAGCCCGACGGAAGAACGGACCTTACCGTTCCCAGCCGCCCTGGTGAGCACTGGTCACTAAGCTCCAGCCGAGAGAAGACCCATCCGTGAGCACATTGAGCGAAAGCTCGGGGAGGCGCCAAGGCACGGAACTCCGAAAACCACAAAGAGGAAGCAGGCAACATAGCACCAACACAAGGTCCCCGAAGGACGAACCCAACAATCGCGAGAGAGGTGGAAGGGGCGTCCCCGAACTAAAACAAATGCTGAAGTCAAACTCAACCCGGCGGGTAGACCAGCACGGCGAAGTACAGACTCTCGCACAGCCGCTCGAGCAACTGCCGAGTAACCCAGGAACCCCCTTAGAAACAGCCAAGGGTGGGACCACAGCCGCAGCAACGCCTTTGGAGGGAGAGACAAAGAAGCGGTCCAAGAGTCCGAAACAAGACCCAGCCAGGTCTGAACCCGGGATGGAACCAGATGAAACATCCTCCAGTTCACCAGGAACCCAAACCCAGCAATCTGAAAAGAACCACACCCCTGGCGAGCAGAGAAGAGGCAAGAGGACCGACTGAGAGCCCACACCAGCCAGGCATCGAGGTAGGCCAGAAACCGAATCCCGAGCAGACGTAGACAGGTCACCAAGATCCGGTAAAGATGCATAAATACACCAAGTGCCAAGTACAAACTAGGGGAAGCAACCAAAGTGGCAAACCTGAAGCTCCACCACTACCTGTGCCAGTCCCGGAACCCTGGAGAGGAAAGTGCCAAGAAGTGACCCAGAGGTCCAGGGGCACCATCCAGGCACCCGGCCTCAACAGAAGCAGGACCAGAGACAACAGTCTTCTGAAGAGGGGCAAAGAATCCAGGACACAGACTGAACAAACCCAGAAGAATCGCAGATCCGCGAAGGCCCGTGACAGCATTGAACAGGCGGGAACCCAGAGGGATGGGGCGGATCGACCACGTCCAAACGTACCCACCCCAAATGACATGAAGAAGGTCAGAGGAAGAAGGCCACCCCGCCAGCCCCGAACACCCCAAAAGGGGAGGAGTCGCTCGACGCCACCAGAGGCCGGACGACAACCAAAAACCCCCATGAACTGTGGGACCAAGCAAGAGCCAACAGAGCAAGCTGTCCCTCACAGAACCCCGTCAACAGTGAAAGGAACGAATACCCTTCCGAAAGAAAATGCACATGTACATATACACAGATATATATGTCCATATACACAGAGATATATATACACATATATACACACATACACATGAAAATAAAATAAATAAAAAATGAAAAAAGACAAGCCGCCAACCGGTGGGCAGAGAGCACCGCGCCGGCCAGACGAAGAAGGTACCAAAAGAGCACCAAAACTGTGCCAAAAAGCCTACCTCGGCAACAAAAATCCAAGGCCCCAGCACAACCACAACATGCACCAAGACCAGAAAAGATCAACCTGCAAGCCAGGAAGACCCCGGAACCCCAGAAGGCAGAACTAGGTCACACACGAGGTAACGAAAAGCCCCTCCGAACCCACAAAGGGGGGCCCAAGAGGAAGAAACCTCTGGAATGAAACCAAAGAACCCAAAGGAACCCGGAATCGAACCCGGGGGAGCCCAAACCACCACATTTGCCGGCAGACATACACCACAGAAAGGGCAAAGCACAGCACCCAGACAGAACCCCCAAGGAAACGGCCAAAATGGACCGAAAACCGAGAGACAAGGTGTGGGAACAACCATAAACAGACAGGGACACTGAGCCCAAACACCTGGGCCCAGACCCAGACAGAAAATGCAAAAACCGTTGTAAAAAAACAACACCAAAGCGTTCCCAGAGGAACAGAAGGGCAGAACACTCTGGAAAGAACAGAGAAACAACAATAGAAAGATAAAACCCCCTGAAGGAGGTGAAAAACTCGCCCAAAATGCGAGCTCATACACCCAGGCACATATGAACAAACCACTGTGCCGCCCTGGTGGCCAAGCGGGTAAACCCGCAGAAAAAAAATGGCCACCAGAACAAAGAGCCGTAACTGACGCAATAAATCCGAAAACACGCCAGCAAATGTGGGAAGCAAGCAGATGAGAGGGACAAAAAACCCCGCCCAGAAGCAGAAAACCCAGGCAGGGATAAACAGCCCCAGAATTGCTAGCAGGCATCTCCCCACAGCCCCGGGAACCCGCAACAGAGGCCCCAGGGCAGAGCCGTCTTCCACACCCCTTTGCCCTTAAAGAAAAGGAAGAGTCCAGAGGAAAGGCAGCAAAGAAAGGGCCGCTGGTAATATCCAGGAGCCTTGGCAGGAGGATCAGGCTCGAAAACCTCCATCCCCAACCAATTCATAAGACTCTGGGTCAAGGTGTCATTGACCCAATAGGCAACATGACGGAGGCAAAATAGGCGACTGTCACCCTGAGACAAGAGCACAGCAACCAACGAACCCGCACAAGGCGGGATGAAACCCAGAAGACACATCCCGTGGTCCACTGAGCCCCGACAGGGTTTTCCATGGCCCGTAGGCTGACTGTTACGGGAAGCCCAGGAAAGGTGTCGCTAACGGGTTAACACCCAAAACTAACAAGGGGTAGATGCCAACACTAAAAACCCCTGTGATATGTACAATCACGAGGGCCTAGCAGAGGGCCACCAAACACTACCAGTGGAACTATAGCCAAACTAGGCAGACCCGTACCAGGCAAATTAAAATAAAAACAAAACAAAAACCCCACAGAAGTACACCGTCCCCAGAGGCAACAGAAACCGGACGCCGCATAGGTAGCAGGTCGCGCAACACCTTGTCGTCTTAACCAGCACAATTTCAGTCCCTACCCAAGGCCAAACAAGGGCCCCAAGCCCCAGCTGGTCCCAAGGGCAAGGCAAATGCCGAGCAGCAAGAACCTCTAAGGGAATGGTTCCCGAACGTCTCAGGGAAGATAACCCCTTCACACAGTGGCAGTACTCACAGGGCAGTTAGGGAAGGAAGTCCCTAAGCGCATGCAGCTCCTGTACTGATGAGGAACACCTGGCCACCGCACAACACAAAACTTGGCAGTGAGCGCACGAAAGCAAACACCGCCTAGGAAACCGAGGCCAGAGAAGTGTCTGTCCCAGTTGACATTAGCTAATGAACTGGAGTGCTAGGCAGCTGGCACGGTGAGGTCCGGGGCTTCCCCCTCCTCCTCTCGGTGAGGGGAGGGGAGGGGAGGGCTGCGCAGACAAACGGTGCAGCAGTAAAGTGTGGCGTTTGCTTGTTTCCTTGGGATTGTAGGGAGTTTCTACCTCTGTTCCATTTTTTGTTTTAAGTTCTTACCATGTGGGGTTTGTTTTGTTATGCCTACCTTTCTGGGTGCCTAACCCTAGTCGATGGCAGATAAGGAAAACCCCCCCAACCACAGGGGGAATTTCCAGGGCCATTGCTCCCTGAAATCTCTCTCAAGGTGCCAGGTTCCAGCTCTGGTCCCTGGTAGGTCTGAACTCCATAGCTAATGTCCCATTCTAATATAAAGTACATTAGCCCGATAAGCTCCAGGAAGCCATAAGGGCTCCCCACAGAAAAACTTAAAATAAAGCTTAATTAAAAAAAAATTACACAACCCTCAGAGTGACTTAAGGTGCTTTGTGCAGTGCAGTGGTTAAATTACATATGAAACCAAACAATTTATATTAGAGAACTCGCACCTAGGCCAAAGATGGTGGTGAAAAGGGCATTGAAGACCTCCAGTGTAAAGGCAATTGTACGTGACTGATGATAGTGCTCGATGGCCATCGTCACCATATTTAGGAAGATCAATACAAAAATGGAGATCTCAAATCTGTAATGAGAAAAAGAGTAAGGCTAAGTAATAATGAATCTCATATCAGTATCTTTAAAGAAACTTAGAAAAGCAGTGCTGAGTAGTCAAATTATATTTAACCAAGAATGGTGGCCAAACTAATTTATTAGCATTTTCCTACCATTAGTAAATTTGACATTCTTTATCCATCTCTTCAACTAATACTAACTCTTAATAAACATTGCATACAATAATTTTATTAAAATAAATTTACCAGCAGTCTAAAATATCAATATCACAAAAAAGTCATCAAAAATAATTTTGCTCCCTTTAAATGCACATATCAGCCAGAGTATACTGCTTCGTAAGTGCTTTTACAATTATTTTTTGGACAAACATGTTTAAATATATCTCTGAATTAGGAAGAGCAATAATTATACACAATTTAATACATACTTTAATAAGAAGAAAATATTTCAGAAAGAAGTTTATATTCATACTTTTATACATAACTTATCGAGAATTTTCAGAGTTGATCATTTTTTCATGCATCAACATACAGATTATAATAATATTAATTTTAACCTTTTAAGGGCAGTTATCGTCATATGTTGATCCTTGGGGTATAGAGGTTATCTTCAAATGTTAAAGTTATCTCCACCAGGCTTTTATACAAATGTTATTTACCTGATTTACCTGAGGGACACTAACCCTAGTGACTTCGACAAGGACAGGAAGCCGGCAGCTTGTCGAAGGTTTCGTCATTTGCCTTGATGATCTTTTCTAGGTATATTTTAAAACTCAACACAGTTTTGGCAGCTACGGTTTCGGCAGGTTGGTAGTCCCATGGATTAATAACCCTCTGGGTGAAAAGGCATCTCCTGTTCTCAGTCCTACATTGTGGCTTGTTGAGCTTGAAACCGTTGCTCCTTGTTTGTGTTACATCTGACCGTCTGAAGAAAATATCCGGATCGACATCCTCTAACTTGTGCAGTATTTTAAACGTTTCAATGAGATCCCAGTCATTCTAGGTTTGCAGTGTTGATAGCCCTATGGCCTTCAAGTGTTCCTGATACGGGAGATGACAGCCTTGGAATGACTTTTGCTGCCCAATGTTGCACCTTCTCCAGAGCAGCTGTCCTTCTGAAAATAACGTCTCCATGCTTGGATACAGTAATCCAAATGATTAATTGCACCAGAGATTTATACAGTTGAACCATTATCTTCTTTTCATTATAGTCAAAAGTATGTTTAATTATCCTTGAGTTTGGTTAGCTTTTCTGACTGCTGCACTCACTCACCAAGGTCCTTTTCTTCATCAATCTGCTGTAATGTAATGCTAATAGTTTGGTAGTCATGGCATGGGTTGTTATGCCCCACATGCATGGTCTTGCATTTGTCAATATTAAAAAGCATTTGTAAGTCTTCTGACCATTTGTGGAGTTCATGTAGATTTTTTAAACCTTTGTAAGGCGTCAATATCATTATCATTTCCCTCTTTACCATAAAGCTTTGTGTTGTCTGGAAATTTGATGATGTCATTTGTAATATTCTCATTTATGTCATTGATGTATATGACAAAAAGGGTAGGTCACAAAATGGACTCCTGTGGCATCCCACTATCACATTTCTCCAGTGAAATTTGTGTCTATTTACCATGACCCTTTGTTTTCTTTCCTTCAACCATTGTTTTATCCATTCTAATATTTTACCATTTATTCCATGGGCCTAAAATTTCCTTGCCAGTCTTTCATGTGATACCTAATCGAAAGCTTTAGCAAAATTCATGTATACTACATTCTACGAAAGGCACTTGTCTGAGGAGGTGATTACCGTTTCCAAAAACGTGCCAATCTTACAATGTACCTGTTAACTTTTTTCAATTTTGCTACAAATTACCGACTTAAAATTATCTGTTAGATTAACGACCTGCCCGAAATACTATGCATGTTAGTGGCTTTACAAGTATGTAAAAACATCAATGCTATGTACTTTTATAAACCCGTTAAACCTTCTTGTATATAAATAAATAAATATATAAATAAATAAATAAATTAAAATATAAATAAATAAATAAAATAAATGAGCAAGTTTGTAAGGCAGGATCTGTTTCTAACAAATCCATGTTGTATACATGTTTATAATACGTCGATATACTGTAGATATAATGGAGTTAACCTAAACCCATGAAAAAATCTAGTATCATTCTCAATTGCTTACTATAGATAAGATTATCTTGAACCACCAGCAATGCGATTATCGTAAATGGCAATTTGGAGTTTCTGCCATTGTTTGAATCAATTTCTGGAAGACATTACCAGACAGAATAACAGTAAAATAATGAGTTGCAAGACACTTCCTTTGAGCTGTACCAAGAACACATTTACAAACAACTATACATGTAGATATTACACTGAAGACTTATATACAGCATTCAATTATTCTTTCTGTCAATTATACGTAAATAAATTGAGTTATTACACACATTGTGTAAACGAAAGTGAAACAACAAGAATATAAATCCCCTAACACTACCAGAGGAGCTCTCTCCATCAATAATTTTGTCAGTAGATTTACATAACCACAGCCCATGGACCAAATGATCACCAGACTCGGCACTCTACTTGCGTGCACAAAACACAAATTACTTTGATTTTTTCTAACTTTTTGTAAACAAATGTATGATTTCAGATATTTTGTTTTTTTTCACAGGTATAAAGGTAACTTTGATCATAGCTGCACTTTAACCCTTAAACCGCGCAAATCATATATATATGATATCAGTGACAAAATTGAAACTGCGCACATCATATATATATGATTTCGTGTCTAGCGCTATAATTTAAATGCCCCGCCTGGGATAGGGGCAGCTATAGTACAGCCACAACCAATAGTTGCCAGATGCCACCTAGAAAAAAATCCAGGCCAACATTCTTGGGTGTTAAGAGCATCAGTATTGAGCAAGCCACCAAGGCTGGCGCACGCAGCACGAGCTCACAGCACCGCTGTTCAGCTTGTGACCACAGCATCGCCTACAAATGCCATAATATATATGATACTGCTATTATTTAGCAGTGATAGTATTACTGAAGCCCCCTGACTGTGATAAAACTGACCAGGATTCTGATAATAGCAGGATTGTGGTGATATTTAGCGCTGTGCTCCATGGAGGGAGGAGTAAGGCTGTGGGAGGGAGGGTGGTGGCGATGTCTTCTGACTGTGTGTGGCCACCATTTATTGACTGCACTCACCATACCAGCTTATAGTGGTTGACTATGGTGAACACAAATGTAGCTACATATATATAAAGTGCGTATAGAGTATGATAACAGCAGCGTTGTCTGCATGACTTGTCATGTTGTTTACTGATGGGCACTATGGTCTTTGGGCACCATACCAGGTTATTTGTACAGGTATGGTGAATCAAACAGGTAGATACTTATATATAATGTGTGTATATAGTGTAATAACACCACAAACAATACTGTTGGAGGAGAATATTAGTGCGTCTGGCCTTGAGGGCGGCCGCCGATCAGCTGACTGTGTGAGTAGCTATGTCTTTGTGCTTTTACTCACCATACAAGCTTAGATGTACAGGTATGGTGAGCAAAACATGTAAATACGTATATATAACGTCTGTGTATAGTGAATAAATGCAAAAACAGTATTATGGGAGGAGAATGAGGGCGAGTGAGGTGGTGTTGAGGGAGGGAGTGGCAGTGAGTGGCTCGCTGGTGTGTGGCGGTCACTCCTCATTGCTTTTTGACTCACAAGACTACCTTAGTAGTTCATTATGGTGAACAAAACATGCAGATACTTATATATAACCTGTGTGTATAGTGTAACAACAGCAAAACTATTTGTTTATTGTTTTATGAACATAATAATTGAATCACTAATATGCACACCATAATTTTGAGTACAGCGATGGTTCACACATTTTATTATATAAATATACCACAATTCACTGTATGGAATAATATTACTGCAAAAAAACTAAGAAAAAATCAATCGGAGATATTGAAATAATTACGTAATAATATATTTGTGGCAACTGCCACAGCTCGAGCGGAGTAGACCTCGTCTGGCGAAGGCTCTGTCAACGCCCCTTTTTTGCCACACTTCCCTACCTTATTGCGGCTAAAATATGCCACCTACGATTTTTTTGTTATTTTTTCCGTGATCAGGGAACAAAAATGAACACTTCTATAAGACAAAAGAATTTTTTTTATTTTTTTTTTTTTGTTGCACCTGTGTGTGTGAATTCCATTTGGGCCCCTAGCAGTTTGAGGGTTAAGGGTCAAATAATATTTTACTTTTAATATATTTCACATTAAATTCTAAGTTTGAAATAATATTCCCAAAAATTTTTATTTTTTAAACCTTAGACTGCGCAATACATACAGATATGATTTGACAAAATAATTTAACATAGGTTTTTAAAACTTGCACAAACACCTAATTTTTTTGGCATAATCAACTAGGCAAATGCTCCAACTTTGTCTAAATGATCACAGCGTAACTTGAAAAACAAGAGAATCAAAATTAATTTTAAAATTGAATATTGAAAACTTCAGATTTTCAATTTAGAATAAAAAAATATGAACTATCACCAATTGTTTATTTAATGTTATTATTCTATCAGAATAGTACATGATCTTCATTTTCATCAAATTAGAATACAATGGCACCTCGACTTATGATTCCCCCGACTTACGATAATTTCGAGTTACTATGTAAATTTGATCGAAAAATGCAACTCGACATACGATGGTGTCGTCGACTAACGATACTTGTTGGTACACGTTTGGGTCGACCGAGCGCGTGGTTCCCGGTCATGCAGGCCGACCTGCCTCAGTTTACTACAGCTGCCCGCTTAGTGACAATCACGCCTATAAGAAATTCCGTTTTTGTGGTAATTTTTTGCTCTTTGAACATAAAAGTAATTATTATATATCATGCCATGGGTCCCAAGAAAGTCAGTGTTAAGGTTCAACATATGAAAACTCATGTAAGGATGACCATAGAGCAAAAACAAG